CAATTTTTGATCTTCATTTGATCAACAATTCATAATTCGATGGTGAATAAAGATTGCTAGTAGAGGAGTTTCTGAATAATGAAACACCCGAACACATACCATATGCTGAGATCTCGAGTGGTAATCGCCTGAGATACCGCCAGCCGAACCAGCTCGCATAAAGTGATCAGAAGTGGTCGTAGCGTATTGCTCAGCTTCGGTTTCGATTGGATTATGGACAATAAACTGAATAAATACGAATTAATGGTTGTAAACATCCAAAAATGTTTAATAATTCAATGAAAATATTCGGAATTTAAACACCACATTTTCTTTACTAAACCAAAAGCACTGTTATTGTGTTTTCAAGACATAACGATGGGTGTTATTTCAAACCGAGCGAAGAATACTTAAATTAATTAAGATTATGCGTATGCTATCGATAAATAATCAAGTAGCATTCTTTTGCCTGCACAGACACAAAATCAACTCGATATCCCATTATATAAATCATGTCATGGTTAAGCATTTAGTAATTTTCAAACTGCAAATATAAGACTCAAACATCGCAATACCCATGATCACTCGATAAGCCAGCACTTAAATGAACTAAACGCAACAATTATCCGTCATTCAAGAGTTTTATGGGTGATCTTTTGGTAGATTCAAGCAGAATCGAACACAGTAGCATTTCATTGTCGTGTTTTCGACAAAATATTTTCCACTAGTTGGCAGAAGTCTGGTGAATGTAGACTTTGAGCATATTTAGCGCTCATTATCCTATAATGGATGGCAGCTCTGTTCTTTCACTTGATCACAGGGAGTGGTTATCTGCATACAGAGAAGGCATCATCACATTCATGCCAATGCTATTCTATTATCCATCATGAAGAATCGCTTATGAAATTCGCAGTGAAATGAAAATACGTGATACCTGAGCAGAATGTTGTTGTTGTTGAGTTGGATAAGTGGTTGTGGTTGAAGTGGTCTGATAGACGGCTCCACCCGGGACTCCTGCTTCGTCTCCGTAAGCATCGCGAATGGTCGTCGTCCGAGTTTCGGTCCGAGTCACGTCCGTAATGATTCGTCTTTCCACTTCCTCCGCCGATGACCCTTACGAAATTAGAATGGTTGGTAATGTTTCTTGATAATATTTTACAGATTCTGAATGGGACTTCAATATGAGCACGGATCATTTTTGCTACATCGCCTTGACCAATTTTATGCACTTCATCCGAATGATCTATTGATTTTGATTTTAGGATATTTTGACGATTCACGAAGAACAAACCACTGATCATTGATACTCCATCATCGAGGTAACGTTGAAGGTTAGCTGCTTCACTTTCCATAGGTTGACGGCGAGACAAAGCCATCGCATCAGCATCACCTCTAAAA